ACTTCCTCACATGCACATCAACATATCTATTCTGTGTTTATATCCCCCACTCTAGGGTTAAAGTAAGGGTTAGGTTTAGTGATAAGGTGATGGCTAGGATTAGGTATACATCGTGGGCACTGCTCTGCACCGTGCTCTTTTTCTACGTTAGTCATAGGGAGTAGCCTTGGTCTAACTGCCCTTCGTGGCATTGGGTGTGCCACAGTTCATTACCTGTCCTGTCCTGGCGAACTTAGGGTATGTTTAATCGTTTGCTATTGGAGGCATTATTGGAACAGGTCTTACTTATCTGCATGTTTTTGCACCTGTGAAATACTTGTTAGAAGTGGGGTTTTTAAGAGAGTGGTGTGGATGTGGACATTTAGTAGATAGTTTCTGGCCTCCACAGGGTTTGCTCCAGTCAGCCCTGTGGACAAATGAATGCCTTTCCCACACTCCCCAACACGTGCATTCAGACTTTGAGTTCTGCCAACCCAATAGACAAAACATGGAATTTCAGCTTCATTTTTATTTTCTTACTAGAGGCCCAGTGCATGAATTCATGCACAGGTGGGTTCCCTCAGGGTGGCCTGCGAAGATCGGGCCCCAGCTCACGCCCCCAGCCTCGCAGCCCCAGCTCGCGTCCCCAGCCTCACAGCCCTGCCTGGCACCCCACCTTGGCCTAGCGCCACCCCCTCACCTGCTCCACCATCCCACCTGTGGGGTGATCAGTTGGGTCCAGGCCCTCTGCCCAGCTAACCTCAGCACCTGGGAGCCGGGTGGTGGCCCCATCCCTTGCGCTGCCACTGTTCACCATCTGCAGGGCATTCGGCAGGGCAGTCGAGCCCCACTCACACCCACCATGTTCTGCACCACCCCTGGCGGTCAGCACACGTCATAGTGAGTGGTCGAATTCCCGGTCTCAAAAATGACTGCCCAAGGGGACAATTTGCATATTAGGCTTTTATTATATAGGATATTTCATGATGTGTTTGTGTATGTTTAAACATCATTTAGTTTTCTGTTTTGTGAACAGCCTGTTCTTTTGCCCTTTTTAAAATTCAGCTCTTATCTTGTTACTGATTTGTGCAGTTTGCTGTGTTTTAAGGAAATTAGCCCTTTGTCTGTGATAGGAGCCATAAATGTTTTTCCCTATTTGTCTTTGAAAAAGTCTTTTGAGTTTACAGTGCTTCTTTCTTGGGAGATGTTTTTGATCTTCATGTTTTCAGTCTCTCAAGCCTCCTATTACGGCTTTTAGCTTCTGGAGTGTACTGAGAATGGCCTTCTCCCCACCCAGAATATAAAACAAAATTATCTCATTGCAGCACTTTGATGAATAGGCATGTTTGTGTTTAAATGTTTTACTCATCTTGAAATTATGATATGAAGTAAGTCTACAACCTTATTTTTTCCAGATGGATATCCAATAGTATTCATTGAAAAAAATCTGTTTTTCTCCCACTGATTGATTTGAAATGTCACTTTTATCAGACACTCCAGTATCTTATATATTTGGATATATTCCTTCACCTCCTATTCTCTTCCATTGATTTGTCTTTGTAGACATGTACCAGTGCCAAACATTTCAATTACGGTTTCCAACAGTTTGAATATCTATAAGGCTAGTCCTCCCCTATTTTTCTTTTTTCAGAATTTTCTTGGCCATTTTTGCATTTAAAAAATATATGTCAACTATAGAATCAGCCTACCAGGTACCTCAGAATCCTGTTGATACTCTTATTAGGACAGCAGATTATTCAAGAAAACCTGATGTCTCTTTGGGGAAGTTTCTACCTGGGAACATGGCATGCCCGCCACCTCTTCATGCCTCTTCACTGTCCCCCTTTTCTCTCTCAGAATAGTGATTTGTAAATTATCTCCATAAAGCTTTCTTTTAGTGTTAAATTTATTCCAAGTTCCTTCAACTTTTTGTTATTGTTACAATGTGGTTATTTCTTCCTTTCTGTCCTGAAAATGGTGGTTAATTGTATATGTGAAGGCTGTTGATATCTGTATAAGTTTTTCTCTCCACCTAATGGAATTCCTTCTTTTCCATAACAGTTTTCTAGTTGATGTTCTTGGATTTTCAAAGTTAATTATTGTATCTGCAAATGATAGTTTTGCTTCCCCTTTTCTGATTTTTACCCCTCATTTCTTCTCCATGTTGATGTCAGTTAATTCAGTAGCGGTGGAGTGTGCTTTGGGAGTGACCCGTCTTGTTAGATGGTAAACAGTCATATCTCTTTCCTATTTTATTAAGAATTTATACCAAGAGTGGAAGTGGAATTTTATCAGATGCCTTCTCAGCATCTCAGATACTGGGGCTCATCATAGGATTGGTTTTTTTCCTACAGGTCTAGTAATATGATGTAGTAATAAATCTTCTAACACTATATGTTAAATTATCCTCTATCTTTTGAATAATTGTACTTGGTTATGGCTTATTATTCTTTTAGTTGTTGCTGGATTATGTTTGTTGATATCTTAGTGGGGATATTTTTATTGATATCCATAAATGGAGATGTTTCTATAGGCGGGGTGTATGTGTGGATTTGTTTGGAGATTGGGGGTTCTTTTTCAGAAAAAAAGATTCAGAAAGGATACCCCACTACAGTGCTTGGGTCAATTTAAATAACATTGGAACGGTCTGTTTCTATATGGTTTATAAAAACACCAGATTTTGATGGTTTTGTAAATGTTGAATATATATTTCAGGTGACACAGAGAATTCAAAATTCCTTTTCTTACCTGAACATAGGCTAATTGACTTGCGAAAACTTTTTTAGTTTAATAAAATTACTCCAATTCAGGAGGTTAAACCCACCTACATAACATACATATGTCCATATGTGTATCCATCCATGTTGTGAGTATGTGTGTATTGGGGATATGTATGCATGTGTGTGTTCACATGTATGTATTATACATCTGTATGTGTGTGTTATACATATGCACATGTGTTTGTGTGTTTCATGCATATGCATGCAAGTGTTTGTATATATGTGTTGTGTTATACATATGTGTATGTGTCTCTCTGTGATTCTTTGTTACAACAGATGCAGGTTTTATTCCTTCAGATAAGAATTCTCATTTTAGGAGAGTAAGCACTTCTTGGGTATACATTTAGAAAACTTGGTGGTTAAGCCTAAAGAAACAGAGTGTCCTTTGGAACAATACACACACCCTTGCATATAGTATTTTTTAATTGCGGAAATGACATGTCTATTGAAAAATAATGCAGACATTACAGAAGTTCATAAATAAGGTAAAAGTAAAAGCCCTGACCACTCCCCATCTCCGTTCAGTCCTTTCACTGTGGCTACCTGTAAAGATGCCAGGTCCAGCCTTCCGGACTTGTTTCTATTGTATGTAAACAGGGTGTGTGGGTTCTGGGAAATGGAATCATATTTTCTATACTGTATAGACATGGAAACATTTTTTCTTGACTAAACTGTAGCCCTGGCTTTATTCTGTGATGGTATATGCAGGGTTCTGTGTTCTTTTTAAGGGTTGCACAATTTTCAGTTATGATTGCACCATTGTTTAATTTACCAGTTCATTACTGAGTTTGTCCTGATATTTAGCTCTGTATATTTGTGTGAGAATATCTGTAGGAGAGCCCTCGCTGGTTGCTCAGTGGTTAGAGCATTGGCCCATGGACTGAAGAGTCACGGGTTTGATTCTGGTCAAGGGCAAGTACCTCGTTTGCAGGCTCAATCTCCAGCCCTGGTCGGGGCCCATGCAGGAGGCAACCAATCAATGTGTGTCTCTCATATCGATTTTTCTCTCTGTCTCTCCCCATCCCTTTCACTCTCTAAAAATCAATGGAAAAACTATCCTTGGATGAAGATTAACAAAACAAAACAAAAGAATATCTATCTGTAGGAGTAATTCTAAAAGTAGAATTGCTGAGGCAAAGGTATTTTATACACTTTAAATTTTGAGGTGTTTTCAAACGAGCCCAGAAGGTCATGTGAACTGTGGTCCCAGCAGTGTGCGCGGACATGGCTGTGTTCCTGCTGTTTTACTTCATTAGTTATTAGAGGGCTGGAGTGCCCTTTGTATTTTCTCACTCGATTCATAAAAGCAGTATGAGATAATGGTTGGTTTTTTTCAGTTTGGTTCTGGAATGTAACTTTGCTCAGTGTCTTTCTATTCACTGAGCAAATCAAATTTGTCATTCTTTCCTTTGTGCTGATCTTAGGAAGACTTTATTTACCCCAAGATTATAGAAATATCCCCCTTGGTTTTGTTCTAGTCTTTAGTCCACTGGAATTTAGAGCTGATTGCCCCACCTCATTTGAGAATGGCCCATGCTCTTCTCATAAGCGTGAAGTGCCGCCAAGTAACTTATTCACTGGGGTTTTGTGCAAACATGGACTCTGAGATCCGCCTTTTTAGTAAATATCAAAATTTGATAAAATGTTCACCGAGACTAAAAATGGTTTCTGTAGCCCTAAGTTTACAAAGAAATATGACTAAAGACACTGAGAATGTAAAATTGAAGGAATTTTTTAGCTTTATTTAAATGGTGTCAGTTTCTGAGCACAAAGAGCCCAAGACTCATTTTATTTGCTTTGTGACAGTTCTTAGTTTATTTTACTTTTTATTTTTTTGTTAATCTCCACCTAAGGTTATTTTTTTCCATTGATTTTTTTAGAGAGGGAGAGACAGACACAGAGAGAGAAACATCCATGTGAGAGAGACACATCAATTGGTTGCCTCCTACATGCGCCCCGACCAGGACCCCAGGACCAGGGATCCAACTTGCAACCCAGGCATGTGCCCTGGATCGCAGTCGAACCCAAGATCCTTCAGGCCAACACTCTATCCACTGAACCAAACCGGCTAGGGCTACTTTGTGACTGTTCTGAAGCCCTCCTAGAAGAAATGTGAAATAAGAAGTTAACTGTAATAAAGTTCGTGTGCAGGAAGTAGCCTTATGCTACACAGTGTTTAAAGTCTTTGTTGTTAAAGTCATATAATCCTCTACATGCTTTTTCTCACCTGTCTCACCACAGCCTAAATGTGACGGCCAGGTTTTATTGACCCAAGTGTGGAGGCGTTTGAATCTGATAGAATGTGACTACTTCGGGTTGGAGTTTCAAAACGTCCCATCCTACTGGGTAGGTGCTTCTCATTCATTTGGAAATAGCTCTGGGTATGTTATAGGACCCTCCCCACATCCACGGGTCACCGAGAGCCTTTGAGTATGACTATAGTTATTTTCTTGTTTGTAGCATACTTACTAAATAGAGAAGTTATTTTCATGGATTTGCTCTCTTCTTAAATCCTCTTTAGATTTGGCTTGAACCTATGAAACCCATCAGTAGGCAAGTACGAAGTAAGTCCTTTTTTTTTTAACTCCTTAAAATTCTGTTCACTCAAAGTGCTTTGTTTTTGTTCTTGACTGTTCAAATCTGAGGCATGATGAGTTGTTCCCTGTCACCATTCTGGACAGCCATGAGGGGTGCTCCCGCAGCAAATGGACCTGGAGGTCACAGTGCCGTTTAATTTTGGGGGGGGGGGGGGGGGGGGGGAGTCAGTGCTTTCACTCTGGTTCTAGGTTACTTGCCTCGCATTTGGAAGCAATATGCAAAAATAGGTATGCAGTTTCTCTTTAAGTTATGAAATGACACTGAGGTTCTTTCTTTAATTGGCATTTTAATAGAATAGTTAATACCATTCTGTAACTATAAACATAATTGTAATTGTAAACATGATTATTTTTTTAGTCTCTTAATTAATTTTTTTAAATGTAAGGCATGTAGTAATGCTTCTTAGTTCTTATGTATTTATATAGGATGAATTCACCTGGAACTTCCTTAGTACTAAACTGAGGAAGAAAGGACATGAGGAGTAACTTCGTTATTCACTGATAAGCTAAGGCCATTTTGGTTGCCATAACATTTTAACAAACAGTTCCTCTTTTTTTGGTGAAAATTACATGGTTATGATATTATAACATTTCAATAAAGCTGAGATACTTAGATGAGCTAATATATTATGTTTTTTTTAAACAATAATCAGGTTGTTCCAATTCAGTATAGTGAGTGATGACAACATTTTTCTTTCAGTAAATATGTAAGGAATTCAAAAATAATTTTTTATTATTACTACTTAATTATGTAAATACCTTAACTTTTTAACATAAAAATATATTTAAAAATTTTAATGTGCAATTTCCTGCATTTCTTCAAGTTGCCTTGAGTAATCTCCATTTAACACAAGAGTTTTAAATATTTTCTTTACTGGTACTTAGGACTCATAATTTCATGCATAGGAAATTTCTTAAGATCTCATTTGGAAAGATTTGCTTTAATAGTCCATTTGAAAGTACTAGCTTAACTATATCATAATACATGGAAAGATAACAACTACAATACAGAGAGATGGCCTTATATGTGACATTTAAATTTTTTCTTTTTATAGGGCCAAAGAACGCAATGCTTCGCCTAGCAGTAAAATTTTTTCCACCCGATCCGGGTCAGTTGCAGGAGGAATACACACGGTAAAGAGCCTGTTCTGAACTGAGGCCACTATCAGCAGGGCCTTGAATTCACTTGTGTTTCCCACAGCGCCTGGCTCATCAGATGTTCAGGGCATATTTATTCAAATAATGAATGAATACACATAAAAACTGTAATCCAGTATACACATAAAAACTGTAATCTGTATGTAGTAGTGAAAAGAAGCATTCTGACAGTTAACCCTTGCACAAACACAAATGTGAATGGGAATTGGAAGAAAGGTTTATGATACAAATTTGAGAATAAAAAATAGGGTATTAGGATATGGTTGAACAGGTATTCTCTAAATGGGCATAAATTTATACATGTGCATAAAGTTCTTAGAAATTTTGCCCATATATTTACTAGTACTTCTTTAACAACAAAATACACTTAATTAGGAGAAGTACCTAGTATGCGAGACCTCATGAATAGGTAGGGCAGACACTTCTGGTGACTTCTTTTCTGCAGCTCTTGAATTCATGCTCGATTCTTTGCAGAAATAATTGAAAGAAAATATTAAAAGTTGTTTCATCTGGGCAATAGGATTATGGAAGATTTTTCCCTTATGTTTTATGTACCAATTTTGTAATGAGAATAAAGCAACAACCTAAAACAACTCACAGCCGAGGTCAGGTGTGAGCTGAATAGGACAACTGTTGAACCCTCGGACAAAACATGGACTTGTCCTAGATGTCTTAGGAACCTCTCTCTGCGGTTTTCACAGGTAATTTACCATCAGAAAAGTAGACTGCCAGTGTGAGGCAATGTCCGAGATCCCATTTGTTTACCTCTCGCTATATAGGTGAGGAAATGACCCCAAGGATGACAAAGAGTTTTTATGGTACAGAATGTATCTCAATGGCATATTAAATACCTGACACCAAAAAATCCCTTTTAAGGTAATAGCTTCTAAATATATTTAGACCTTGAAAATGATGAATAACATAAAGTGTTACCTAATTCAGCATCCTGGGCCCAAGCCATGTTTATGCAGAAGGTCCTTGGTTTATTCATAAAAAAACAGTACTCACTTGGGATAAGAGAAAAAAAACGTTGAAATGAAGCTCTATAAAGTAAAAGTAGCCCCTCACTCCTTGCACCACATTCTGCCCAGGAGCTCTGACCCCACATGTTCCAGGTGAATTCCCAGCAGTGCACAGCCCACCTAGGGCAGTGGCAGTCTGTGCATATGAAACCCTAAGGGGGATATTGTTACCTGCACATCCATAGCCTGCATGGACATCTTTCCCTATTAGTATATATATGGCTGCTATCTAATTTATTTAACCATTCTTATACATTAATTCATATTTAGGTTATTTCCAATTTTTCTCTCTTATAATGTTACAAATAAACATCCTTCTCCACATATCTTTGTGAACTCTGGAAATATTTCTGTTGGAATTTCCGGGTTAAGGGGTATGCACATTTTTTTTCCTTTTTATTGAATATATTGGGGTGACACAAGTTAATGAAATCATACAGGTTTGAGGTACATGATTCCACAACTGATCATCTATACACTGTATTGTGTGTTCATCACCCCCCAGTCAAAACTCCTTCCATCACCATTTATCCCCCCTATACCCTCCTCCCCCTCCCCCCACCCCTGGTCTCTCCAGGGGGTACGCACATGTAAATTTTAAGTGAATGCAGTACATTTTAAGATATCACACTAAAATGTGAATTCCGATGGGAGGAGAGAGTGTTCATCTTGTTCACTGTCATATTTCCAGATCCAAGAAATCTGGAATACAATCTGTGCTCGGTAGTTATCCTATATAATAAAAGGGTAATATGCAAATCGACCGAAAGGAGGAATGACCAGTCGCTAACGTGCACAGTGACCACCAAGGGGCAGACACTCAATGCAGGAGCTGCCCCCTGGTGGTCAGTGCACTC